CCCAACGTAGCCCGATCATTTCAGACAATGGCAATCAAACACAATGATGATAGAACGATCTGAAAATATAGATGATTGCCCCAGCTTAACTTGTATCCCCTGTCCGTTGCTACTATCCATATTTGAACACCAGCCCTTATCCATTTTGCCCCCTACTTTTCTGCAAAGCACTTGTGATAAAGCTAAGCTGTATGCTAGGCCAGCTTAGAAACATCTGGTCCATGGGCTTCACATGTGAAAATGGCCATGGCCTGGTTTAAGTACAATCCACATGAATACATGCCTATTCAACTGGGGGTCTGCAGGCACACACAAGCTAAAATGGAAGATGTTGTCTGTATGTACTCTGTTTACAAACTGTTTAGCTTAGTTTGCCACATATATCAAATACACCAGAGGCAGCCTACCTGCAGACAGTAAATCACCTTAGCAGAGGGGGGACAGGGGAGAGGAGGGGGAACTGACAGTTACCGATGCCTGCGTTCTTCATTTTTTAATAACATTATTTACTTCACTCAGTATTGACAGGAATAATATTCATTTTGACATGTTAGATTTGTTTCCAGTGATACTGAGTTGATATGTGACTTTGTTGTTGTAAACATGACTGCTGCTGCCATGGTCTGTATAAAACTATGTGTATTCCTTAACACTTGACCTCAAAGCAAAACATCATGAGGTGACGTGTGTACATGTGTCTGTGTTGCATTTGTTTAAAATTTATATAATCAAAAGCTGAAAAAAAAAAAAAACAAAGGTTCTGAATAGGCTGCTCGCTGCTGAAAATGTCTGGCCCATCAGCATTTCCTGGTTTTACAATCCAGCCCAATTGAATCTGTAATTTGAACAGTCCTGTGTTACACTGTTTGCTATAGCCAGAGTGTGGCTGATTGAGAGAGAGTCACAATGGATGTGCTGAGAGCAGACAGCTGTTGGTGATCAGAAAAGTATTCGTGTGCTTCCTGATTGTGGTCTGGTACGAACGGTTAATAACGTGTTTACAATGACGTTTCGAGGTTTTTAAACTATTTTTAGAGTGTTAGAGCCAAAGTCAGTATGCACTTTAGTTAGTGTGATTTGTTACTGTAACTGACTGGAGATCAGTAAGATTCATTTAATATTCTACTGTGATTAAAGTTTTTTGCAACTCAATAGCTAAATAAAGATATGTTATTCATATTAATTCATGCCCCATCCCTCCATTTTCTAACGGCTTATCCTCTTGAGGGTCACGGGGGGGCTGGAGTCTAACCCATTGGGCAAGAGGCAGGGTACACCCTGGACAGGTCACCAGACTATCACAGGGCTGACACATAGAGACAGACAACCATTCGCACTCACATTCACACCTACAGCCAATTTAGGGTCACCAATTAACCTGCATGTCTTTGGACTGTGGGAGGAAGCCGGAGTACCCAGAGAAAACCCACACTGACACGGGGAGAACATGCAAACTCCGGGAAGGGCTCCTTCACCCTGGATCGAACCAGGAACCCTCCTGCTGTGAGACGACAGTGCTAACCACCACACCACCGTGCCGCCCTAATTCATGCACCAGTTCATCTCATTTCATCATTACACATATGTCTGGCCTATATACAAAGCAGTTTTATACTGATAACTGTATCCAATGTTGTCCAAATGAATGATTATTGTGCATAGTGAGTAATACATAAGATAAGAAACTTTTTTTTAAAAAAAATCACAAACTGAATTGCAATATTGGTCTAAAAAAATTGCAATTAGATTATTTTCCCACATCTTTCAGCCCTGCGGTATGCAATATGTATACTACCCATCTGATGATGAAAAATCTTAACAACATGGGTTTATTACAGAGAACCATTATGAAGACTTACAAGATGACATTTTATACACACATCCTCAGGCTAATGTGGATCGTGTATCTGAACCTGTCTAGCATAGAAGTATAATCATTACTGGATTTGCTGTCGGCATGAGCATTTCATTTTATAAACATTAAAAACACTATGTAAAGCCAGCGTTTTAGCCACTCTTGTTTGAGGCATTTGATGAAAATGACAATGAGCAAAACACCTGCAAGCACATTTAGCATGCCAAAAGTTCAGCCTCATTGAAACATCAGAACATAATCTCCTCACCAAACTACCATTATGCAAATGTGATTAAAAATCATAGCACCTACGGTAATGGAAACATTTTTTTTGTAATATCCTCTAGCTTTAAAATATGGACCTCATAACTCCAGGACACATTTTTTCTGTTAGTGACTCATCTAAAATTCAACCACTATTTCTATTACTTGGTGGATACTTCATCCAGTATATTACTCTCATCAACATGCTGATGTTGCGGCAACTGGGCGCTAAGCGTCATGGCCAAGAGCGATCTTTTAATAATTCAGAGTGTTTCTCATTCACAATCTGCAGGATTGTGGCAAACTGTTGTGGTGCATCAACCGCAACCTGTCAGCCACAGAGGTGTGATGAGCATTAGATTTGCCTCTGGCAGATGGTTTGTTATGGAAGTAAAGGGTGTGAGGAGAAACACCTGGGACAACTTTCTGACTAACACAGACTGGGAAATATGCAAATCAAACTGCAATCAGCACAAAATGCAGTCGGGCACTGTGGTTATTATTTATTTTTCATATACACAATATAACAAAAGGTCTATTTCATATTTTCCAGAAATCTTTCAGCTGATACAAAATGCCCATCAAATTTCATTAGTGCATTTGTTCAGTGTTTACAAGTGGCCTGATTGGTTCATACTGGCATTGTGGCAGGCAGCTGGGCTCTAAACATTGTGACCAGGAATGTCAATGACCTGCCTGCAGCTAATGGTCCATGCTGTAATGAAACTTGGAAGATACTGACTGATTTCCTACACACCTCCCACTGCTCTAATTTCAGACACACCGATTTTGGTTTGTCTCCCTTCATTAGTCCTTGGCCCTGACCAGGCATCATGAATAAGCCTGTTACAAAAAGGTGTGAGACATTTAGTCTGAGAGAGCTTGGTACAGTAATCATGGCTTTGGAGAAAAAGGAGAAATAAAAAAGAAAAAAAGATGAAATAGGTGAACTGCAACAACAAGAGTGCATGGGTACAATATCTGTGTTTGTGTATCTGTATACCATATAAGTGTAAAGACGGATGATAAATGTCAGCAAATTGGTGGGTGCCAATTACTGTATATAAGAATGGACAACATATTTACATTTCCTCCCACTGCACAAAAACAAGGTCTAAATATCCCAGACATGGGTACTGCTGTCTCGCACTGGTGACATTGTTTGGAGCCAGAGACTGTGCAGTAGCGATCAGTAAGCAGAGCCACGCGTACACACTCATTCCACCCAATTGCAGGCAGCGCTATTGACTACAAGCACACCAACTGAAACATACAGCTGTCAATCATGACATCACATGCCCTTTTTATAGCATCAAATAAGTAATATGAGCAAACTTATCAGAGAAATTAACACTTATATGAGTATAAAGGAGGCAGGTGACTGACAACATAAGAATGACATAACAAAAAAGGAAATTCATGAGAGATGCGGGAAAATGTAAATAGGATATACATTTTAAGGAAGAATCTAATTATTAAAAGTTAAAGGAAGGCTGAGTGATGACAGAGAGTCACAACTTGAAAAGTTGTGGATGCACTGAACCATACTGAGGCTGGCTCTTAATAAAGTACATAAAAGTGATATAAGAAAGTATGCTTGATATATCAGGTTACGCTCTATTTCTTTTTTAGGGCCCACAGAAGAAAATGCTGATATGGGACGAATGCCCAGAAAATCCCCTAAAGCATCCAAAATGAAAACCCGAGGTCGATGCCCTGCCAGAAGAAGGTCCAGTGCAGTTAGCTACTTAAAATTAATTGTCAAAGAGAGAGCTAAAATGGTGCTAATGCTAACTCACCATGTGCACTCAGCATATTCTCGGGATCTGTAGTGTACTGAGGACAATAAACTTTAGCAGATAAGTACTGCGAGGGAATTGTTAAAGCTGGGAGGTTCATTAGAATGCATGCACGAGTTTAACTCAAGTTTGTGTGGGCTGGAACTTTTACATAGAGGAGCACTGCGTAAGCATAACAGAGATTTAACTGCTGACAAAATAGCAATAATGAAAACAGAAACTGGCTATTCTCCTGTTCTGTTTTTGCTTCTCCTCTATAGGCTGCTTGTCTTGTAATCATCCCTTCCTTGCTTTCCCTGACTAACTCTCTGGAGTCTACCCTGTATACCATATCCCAGACAGGTCCTGCAATGTCCTGCCTCCCCCCTCCTCAACATCTGTTCCCCGTCCTTGCCTTGTGCCAGGGGCAGCTACCCGCCAAGACACCCATACCAACAGCTCTGTCGCTGCCTGCCAAGCATCTGATCAAAGGGGACAGCTGTCGAACGGATCTGCATGCCAGCCAGCGTTGATGCATGAATGAGAAACGGGCAGAGGAAGGGAAAAAATAAACATCCAGCACCATCAGCACCACCACCCTATCCAGAAAAATGGGTTGGATGGTTGATTGGTGGACAGCTGAGGCCATACGGCCAAAGCCTGGAGGAATCGTCGTAGTCTGTTTTTACCCACAGCAAAGAGAATTAGCAGATCACAGATGGTGATGCTCAGAAGAATATAAGAACAAGAGGACAGGGCAATTAAACAGATTAGATATTGTCTATTATCCTGTGAGAGTCTCATATAGACATGATGAGAGAGCCTGTAGTGAGGTCTACTCTGCATGTAGAGCAAAGTACTGGCAGGGCCAGGGTAAACCTGTGATTGCCAATGAGGTCACCTACACTAAAAAGGAGGCACTGGGGGAAATGGTGGAACAGGGGAAACCCTTGATGATTCAGTGTGTGTTTAAATAAACAGAGAATAGAGGGATCTAAGATATTAATTGCATCAGACGTTTGGTTAAGCTCTTTATGAGGGCCCCAGATTTTTGAGCTCAGCCCCTTATAGGCACCCAAGAGGTTACTTGCTTAGTTACTTACTTGTGCATCTATGTGTTGGTCTGATCTTCAACACTTTGCAGTAAAATCTGTGTCGTCTGAAGTCTGGAGTTGAGGGAAACAAGGCCCACTGCTGTCTTGCCACCTGGTTGAGTTTGCTCTAAATAAAATTAATTAACAAAACAGTGTCAGAGACTGGGTTTACATGCTCCTAGCTAACCGAGCTAACATGGTCTAAATTAAATTAATTAATCAAATATTTAGCTGTCAATTAATCAATCAAATGGAACAAATGAGTTGCCACAAGACAATTACAAATGACAAATGGCTTATACGACATCAACATGTCTGAAAAGTAATAATTTCACCATGTACCAGTGGCTTATTTCATTCTTTGCAATAAAACTGAATCTTTCCAATAGATGTAAAGATAAACATAGAAGAATGTGTGTAAACAAGAACCTCCTACCACACCAGAAGCTCTCTGAAGATGTAATTAGCCACACCTGTGGCATTGTGTCAGCATGCTCATAATGACAGTGCTGACATTCATATTCTGAGGATTATAACAGTCTGTATAAAATGTCTCAACTGTCACCCAACAGTTGCAGGGATAATCCAGTCTGGACCAAAATGGTAGCTAAACCAACTGACACTGTCACCCTTAGAGCCACAGATATGGTTAAAAACATGAAAACGAAACTCGAGTAACAGTTACAAAAGAGTAGGGGGGGACTCATACACTTAAAATTGGCTGCTGAAAATGTAAAATAAGGCTCTGGCACACATTTGAAGAAAAAATACATGAGGATGTTGACTGTTAATGTTAACATAGTGAACATTGACGTTAGCCGTTAGCTTATCTTCGAACAAGAGCCACAGATATGGCTAAAACATGAAAATGAAATTGCAGCAACAATTAACAGTTACAAAAGCGTAGGAGGGACTCGTATACATAAATTTAACGTACCGGTATAGGGCTCCGAGCTTCTGGGCTTCACACTTTTAAAGAAAAAATACATGCTAACCGTTAACGTTACCCAGTTGACGTTAATGTCAGCCGTTAGCTTATGTTCAAACTAGCCTTAGCATGTTATAACAAAATGCTGTGACATTACTGAACAAATAAACTTTAAATTAAACAACAGTAGTAAACCACACTTTGGACAGCTGGAATAAATTGTATAGCACTTTTCAACACTTTACCTTCTCCTTTCTTCAGAAAAACATCAAACTATCAGCAGGGAATGGCGCAGAGTACCAGTGACTTCTGTTGATTGAGTCCAGAGTAATGGTCGCAAATTTAGCCGAATATTTCAGTTACTACGCATTCATACACTTATGGTAAGAATTTAAAGACGCGAGCTCTCCGAATGTAAGGGGAAAAAAATGCAACACACAAGGCGAAATAACACCGTCTGGCAAGTAATTAAAACCGTATTTCATCCAACTTGGAGGACTACTTCCATGTACCGTTGACCAATAACAGCATCCAAGATGGCGCAGGTTCCTTGAGCACCGGTTGGTTGGCGGGCGGTTGGGCAACACTGACCTCAGTGGACGGAAGCTGCACCGCAACAATATAGTTGATACAACAAGTAGTTCCGACCAGGTCATTTCTACATATCATTCCGCCTAACAGGTGTTCTAATCCATTGATTACATCAACGGCCATCCAACCATTGTAAGGGAAGGGAACCGCTCACAGACAGACTGGGAGCTAATTACTTTAATTCAAATACCATTAATATGTTAAAAACATATGCAGCAGGGTACACAAACACATTTATGTGATTTAAACAGCTGTCTCTGCAGATTAAGCTTCACTAGACAATAAAGAAACACTTGTGGCATAAACACCACAAGGGGTCTCTGCAGGAGGTTATTACTGAAATGACTTAAACCTTTTGCTGACGCATAAATTGAAAACCACAGGTGACTGTTTAATTTTTGTCATTTCTGTCAGGCTTTATGCACAGCTTGCACTCAATAGCTAGCTAAATTGAATTAAATGAACAATCAAATTAGAGCTGCAACGATCAGTCACTGAATTGATTACTCAATCAAAAGTAAATTAATGACTAACTATTTTGATAATCAATTCATCATTTCCGTCATTCTTCAAGAAGAAATGTCAAACATTTGATGATTTCTGCTTCTTAAATGTGAGAATTTGTTGCTTTTCTTTGTCATTTATTACAGTAACTTTGGGTTCTATTGGTTGGACAGAAGAAGCAAACCGAAGACATCACTTTGGGAAATTGATATGAGCATTTTTCACTTCCTTTGACATTTTATAAACTAAACAATTAATAATTTATCGTGAAAATAATCAGCAGATTAATCAATGATGAAAGCAATCTTTAGTTGCAACCTTAAAACAAATCATAATCTGTTGTCGCTTATTACTGTTAACTGATAAATGGTGCTTTTAGAAGTCTTGTATGAAAGCAAATATCACACTTGAGGTCGTGCTATTGTACTGAATATCATCATGGCTGTGATTATCTTCAGCATTTGGCTGCTACATTTGAATCACAGCCATTATTGTATTCAAAAGGCTACAACAGCACTCCCTCGAGTGTGATTTTGCTTAATTAAAAGTCTCATTAATTAGCCCCATGCTGGACATAATGGATGTGTATGTATAGGATTCAGAGTTGTACCACTTGACATGAACAATGCATAAATAAAACTTGGTAGATAAACCTTTTGATGGATAAATAAACCTAAATAAATAGACCTTTTATTAAGAAATGTCCATCCTTGAGACCTCCTTGTAGTCCTTGCAGTGCTCAGATGAAGGGACATTTATACATTAACCGGGCAACTCCATCTGCTAAGGAATGAATATGACTGAACGCTCCACAGCAATCGAGATTATTTTGTCTACTGCTGTTTCCATGGTCAGAAATAAAGTTTCAGTCTCAACTTTTTAGACAACGTGGGCGACAGAGGGGCTAAGATAAATGGACAGTCTTTTACAATTTGTCAGCGTCATCTGCTGTTGCAATTTAAGCTCCCAGACAGTTACTAAATAGACATTGGGTTAAGATTATTTTGTCAACTTTTTGATTTAGGTTACAGCAGAGCTTAGTGTGCCCTCAAGCAAAACATCACATTTTTCGCTTCAGTGAAGTTGCCTCATCGCCTAATCCGTCACCCATTCAACAATTTTGTTTGTTGGTGTGTAATGAGCATTACAGCCACATGAGGCTGCTATGGCTGATTAAGATTGAGGACATGGCTTGCAGGATGCTGTTGATTAGAGTTCCCCAAGGTTGAATCTTCCATGTCAACAAGCATCTTGCACTTCCTACCAGCTCCGGGGGCTGCACTGCTGTGTAGCAGAGACTGACCTTTGACCTCCATTTGGAGTGCAAGAGAATTTCACTCGCATTGTTGTCACATAATTATTGCAACATCCACTAAATGAATTGTGTTCTCCTTGAACTGCAGAATATTAATCTTTGCTCAGCCTAGCAAGCAGACTGCACCTCACTGGAGCTTGACAGTCTAATGTGCTAAGTCACAGGGAGCTGCGTCTGAGCAGGATTAATAGACTTTGCAAAGATTGCTGATATCTTATGCAATCTTGTTTGACCAAGTTTCATATAAGCACATTAGACTGTTAAAGTAATTAAACCAAATCCTCCTCCACATATAGCCTAATTTTCACATTAATATTAATAACAATACTGATGCACTTCTTTATGTAATAGGCTCCAGTAAGGAATAAGTCCCACCTCTCCCTTGTGTGCCAGTTTGTTACTTAAGAAACTTCTTTGCCCTTACAAACAAGCTGATTCCTGCAGTGCATTACAAAAATGGGAGTGGTAGACTAATTAAAGCACCTCAGGGAGCCCAGAGGATGTGAGTCAGAATATAGTAGCCCCAGATCCAATTAGGGTGCACTACCACTTGGCTACTGTTGCATTATTGAAGCGTGTTCTGGAACAACTGGACCATAGATGATAGGGAGTGCTATTAAGACAAAACCTGGCATTGACAAGTACTGCTTTTAAATGGTGTCGAATTTGCACATGTCACAACAAAAATAAATATGACAGCGACCTGGGGATTGAAATGTTAGTGATCTTTTCTTTTGAACTATGATTTATGCAGTTAAAGGAAGGACACAACCCATTTGAATGTGGTGTGATCTAATAACTGCAGCCTTAAGAGAACAGACAACCTCCTGTTGGGATGAAATTAAGTCTGACAGGTTGCTAAAACTAGCAGACTTTACAGCATAAAATGACTCGTGTGGTCATATTTGATTTATACCCAGCAATAAGCGACAGCACGGCCGAGTCAGGCCAAGGTAAATGTCTTTAACTGAACATCACACAACCTTTAAAAATAACTAATGAATGCAGCCACGAGAGCGCAATGCTGCTCATGTGAAAATAAATGTTTGAAGGGCAGGAGTAAAAGGAGATGAGGCTAATTACCTTTCATCATTCATTTGGAGTTTTCAGTTACAGCTCAGCGTGCCCGCTGTATGATCAATTCATTTCATATTATAATAATGCTACAATCCTGCTGGATGACACTGAGGAGTTGGCAGTAATGAGGCCTGTATTTCTGAAAAGCAGGTGTGGGTGGTTTTAAATGCAAGGCAAGTGCTGCGTATGAAAACACTTAAAGTAGTGGGGTGAATTTCTGATGAGTGTTTATTCAGTTCTTTGAAGTGATTCATCCATATTACCTTTAAATATTTACAGCCTCAATCCACCTTTACAGTCCTAACAATTAAACTAAAGAGGTATTTCACTGCCAGAGAGATTGTCTTTTCATATAACTGAGCTGTCTATGCAGTAGGAAGATGCAAATACTTTTTAAATTGGTGCTATGTGACCAGAGTAAACAGAGAGAGGGGGGCTGTGGCTTTTGCTTTTGCTCAAGAGGTAGAAAACCTACAACTACAAGAATGCACTGCACCACACTGGACAATTAAACACTCCTGCTGGTGGGTGATGTAATGCAAGCCTGTCCATTATGACACAGGAAACAATATGGCGGCTAGCTGGTAAGTATGCCCCAGACGTCAGTAAATCAGTGGATACCTTTTTTTGAGTGTCACAACCTCCTCAAGATGACGAATTTCACTATCAGTATTTCATCCACCCAGTCTGATACCACTTACAAAGTCTAGAAAAGCCACATGATAAAATCACTTTTAGCGGGAGGCTAAGCTGCAAGTTAGCTGCTCAGCTCACAAGTCTCAATTGCACTTGCTCTGTTGGAAAATGCCTGTAATTTTACACTATACCTGGAGAAGCTGAACTTCTTGGCTTGATGCGTCACATCTATGCTCATAGCAAACAATCTTTAATTACAGTTAAACATAAGCTAAACTACAGTATGTTACTGAAAACGTTTAAGGCGAGGAATATACAATGCAGTAATAGATTCATGGTTCATATTTGATCAGCACTGCTTAGTTTTACTGTTTGACCTCAGTTTTTCCAGTCTCTATTTCTTTTCTTTCTTTTTCTTTTTTTTCTTTTTTAAGATTATTTTTGTGGGTTTTTGCCTTTAATGACAGGACAGTGAGTGAAATGGGGAGACAGAGAGAGAGTAGTGACTGACATGCAACAAAGGGCTGCGAGCCAGATTTGAACCCACAGCCGCTGCAGCGAGGCAATGCCTCTGTACATGAGGCGCCAGCACTATCCACTACACTACCGACACCCCCTAGCCTCCATTTCTACAATACAGGAAACAGTATGCACCAACTTCCTGTTCACAAGCTCTCGTATTACAGCCAAACAGTGCACTAAAACATAATACTGAAGACATTGTAGATGAAAAATAGGCAATACAGTAACAGAAGCTTTATATTTGATCAGCATGGCTTAGTTCTGCAGTTTGATCTGAGTTTAGAGAGCGGAGGGCTTGTCTCTCTCAATCCGCTTTGATACTCTTTGTGTCAGTGGTGGCAGGCATACAAAGATGCAGAAGTACAATCCCTAGGTCGGGCAACAGTCCTAAAAGCCAGCAAAAATCTGCCAGATCAGCCAGTGGATCTGAGCTGAGAGATGAGCAGGGAGATCCGGGTGCTGGTAAGATAGAGGTAAGTTTACCACAGTTCATTTACACATACTACCCAAATATTGTCTGAATCCAAATGTCTGGACTTCACCGCACTTGCAGACTTTGTGGGCGCATACCTGGGAAGTCTGGAATGGACAAAAAAAAACTTACTATGTTAAATAGTTATTGATATTTAGGCCTATTAAAAGGCTACTTTAATTATGTAGGCTAGAATTAATATTCAGCCACATCATGAAACAGAAATATGTAGAAGTATAGGCTGTAGAGGGACTTAAAATGCATTGTATCATTGAAGCCTATCAGGCTGTGCAGTGTAACAAGCCAAAAAAATTGGCCAAGGTCTTCTAATGTAAGTAATACCCAATTTATTGAGCTCTAGTCCTGGGCTATAAATGGCTATACATGGGTTTTATATCTTGTTATCTGCAGAGACAGATGAGTTCGTCACTATTCATCAACCTATATGACATATATATGAATATGACAGCAGCAATAGTTGAACATTTCCACGGCAACAAGTAAACAGTCTCGAGGGCTGTCTGTCAACTGCAGTCTGCCCTCACAGATGACAGTGATAACAGTAAATACGTCACACTACGTACAACTGAAGTCCACGAGGGCTCAGTCTACAAGACCAGAGGGTGGACGTTTGGATTCAGCCATTGTTACAATACAAAGCTGGTTGAAAATCAGCAAAGTAACCCTTCAACAGACACAAAGTAAAATAATACTCATAATAATTACAGGAAAGCAGATGCATACTTGTTATAAAAATTTTATTTAGAATAAAACGTAGCCATATTACACGTAGTGTGGTCAATCTATTTTACATACCTCAGGAGAAGCGACACAGTTCTGCCATGGTATGGTTCATCATGACTGGAATCATTAAAATCATCACCAACATCATCATCATTAGTCTACAGTCAGAGGAGGTTATAGTAGTGTTGTTCAGTCTCACAAGTTTTACAGGATAGCATATAGCACAACAACACAACGCAGTGAGGGACCAGTGCTAGAAGGCCAGTGGAAAAACCAACAACAGAAAGTAATACTCGTCAAAACGGGCGGCTAGCTTCAGCAGGCCACAGACCCATTGTGGTACAGTAATAGTAACTTTTTTTTACTTGGTATCTCCTCATTGCAGTGTACACCAATACAGTAAGCTAAAGCTTAGAATGCTAAACCAGGTTGTTCTTGTTCTGTAAATGATCACAATTGTTTTAAAACAACTTTACAAACCACGAAAACAAAACTGTGTCTATGAGTCTGAGGTAGCAAGGCAATCATGGCTTTCCTCTGATTTCTGAACATATATCTTAAAAAAAAATAACTATTCTACATGATGATAGCGGGCCTCTTACAAACCCAATTTCAGAACAACTGTAGATTTAAATCTTCATTCTCCAAAACCTCTCTCTTTATACAGAATCCCACTTTCATTCATCAACTCTTATCTCTGTCTTCCACACGTGGAATGACAAACTGTATAGGCACAGAAGGGGTAAAGTTTACATTTACAAATCGCAGTTGACACAAAGTCTGCCGGCATATCAATGCTTTAAAGGGGAACTTGACATCAAGCATGCTACGAGATAGATCTTCAAAATAAAACTGATGCTTTAAGAAGTGACGTCTTCAAAACGATCCTTTGGGCCATTAGATGTTATTACTCAGGAACTGTGTGTGCTCCAAAACATGGAAACCTGTGGCTACTTCCATTGACAAATAATTGCAATTGGAGGGTACAAAGCAGTGGAATGACAAAAAATGTAACAGTTTAATTCCCAGTGAGGGCCGAACTTAACAAGAACGAAACACAAATCTCAAACCACCCTCTAAAAAACAAAAACAAAAAAGCATATTTTACTATACAAAGCCCCGTGTCCATATACTCATCTGCATATCTAAACAAATCACTGACAAATGTTGAACCATGTTCAGGTACAATCTACAGTTCATAAAATGTACAGATTGCATAGTACAAGACAAGGTGGTAAAAGTAGTTAAGTTGTCTGGTCCTGTGCGTCTTTGGGATTTAGGGTCGGGGGGGGGGGGGGGGGGGGGGGGGGGGGGGGGGGGGGGGGGGGGGGGGATTGTGTGTTTGGGAATGGTCCTGTCTCCTCCAACACTTGCTGCGCGCACACACACACTCACATGTGGTGACAGTCCTCACATCACCTGCAAAACAAAGGAACAAACATGAAATCATCATGACAACAAAAATGGTACCTTTTACAACACAATGGTGCAATAAGTGCACGTCTGGGTTCAAGTAGGCCCGCTGGAAGTTAGTAGTCTTGTAGCGGAGCAGATAAATCCGCCTCATTTCTCTTCATCAAGACATCACTGTGTGGAAATATCAAAGGTTCGACCGGAGTAATCGGGTTTGAAAGCTGGTAAATGGACTGCAGTCCCTCAAGCCAGTTACAGTCCATTAGGAGCTCAGTGTGGAGGAAAGGAAGGAGGTGGGTGTGGATGATGCAGGGGAGATATTACAAAACATCGCTGTCTCCTCAGAAATGGAATTAGGCACTCAAACCTATTCACCCATGCCCTTGCGTGGAAACCAACAGAGAGTGTATGGCACGGTGTTTGCCAAGGACAATGAAAAAAGAAGAAGTGAAAGGATGACTCAACTAAATACCAGCAAAAGCAGACTGAAGAGACGTAAGAAGTTTGGTTCACTTCATTTCAGTGTACTGGATACAAAGCATGTACTGCGGGCATTATAGAGTCTTCAAAACTTTCCTTAAATGAAATTCAGGGGTGTAAAACACTGAAAGCTGAAAGTTAAAGTGATAATTTGGATCAATTTAACTGGGGTTGTATGACGTACTTATCCATAGATGGTCAGCATGCCCCTAGTTTGGAGAAGCGGACAGGAGTATTGCTACAGAAGCTAAGTAATGTACTGCTGTGGATGGAGGCAGCGGCAAATCATATTTTAGCCTCCATAAAAAAGTCAATATCAGTTTCAGTGTACGCTCTGTTTGAAATATTTTCACCACTTTACCTTGTCGCAGACAGCCCTTTCCTACAGGGAAGTCGTCAACGGCTTTAGTTCCCTATTTATGCTCGTTAAAGACACCAGATTCCACTGACAAAGACAGTAATTTTAGCTTGTTGCCAAGTAGACTGTTTGTGTTATTGTGTAACTTTGGTGATTCTGAGCTAATGCTTTTAAACGCACAAACATACCAACTGATTCAGGCAGCAGTTCCTGTTTTCAGTGATGTTAAATTACTGTTTTTCTCAATGGAGTCGTGCTTTGAAGAGGGCGATATAATGGCTTCATTTACCGGACATTACTGTCTGACGGAAACATAAAGGGGAGAGAATATTCTATATGTTGCGTACACTTGCACTGATATTTATTTTCTTAGCTGGGCCTTTTTTATGTTGCTAAAATACAGTGCATTTCTTAGGTTTCCTGTCAGTACTCCTGCCTGCTTCTCCAAACTGAGAGCATGCCGACTGCCGTCAACTGTAGATAATACACTCACTATGTATAGATACAACCCCACTTCAAACGATCCCAACTACCCTTTAAAGCATTATGGGTATCAAAGAGGAAAGTAGAAATTAAAGGGAAAGTTTGTGTCTCCTAGAACAGCCACCACAGATGGATTCATGTAACAAATAAGCACTTAAACTGGTGTGTAAAGGCATTAGCTGTGTGTGAAGAGAAGAGCCAAGCAGTTTAAAAATACAGTGAGGGACAGAAAAGAATGGTGCGACCAGAGAAGCACCAGAGTGGGGTAAAAAATTACAGTGGGAAGAGGTCAGTGGCGACTGCTTTCACAATACTGCTGTCCCAAAATGCACCTTGGCCTCAGACTGGGGGAATGAGAGGAGCAGCTAATGGCACTCTGGAGAGATCCATTAGCCGTCTCTTTCTCACAGGCCTGCAAATGTGCAAGGCTGAGGCAGGTGAAGGCTACATGGAGGGGACTACTTTTGTGGCAGCAGCTGTAATTACCTCTAAAATGTAGCTCTGCTCAAAGTTCTCTCACCTGTACCAATTATTCAAATAGTGACCCGTAAAAGACACACACAGTGGAGCACAAAGGAGCTTCCATGAGGCTGGAAATACAGAGTGATTTATAAAGGTGCTGTGTATCTTAAGGTGCAGGAGAACCTCATCTTACCTGTGGTCTTGAAGAGAGGCTCGAGGCTGCTGGAGACAAAGCAAAGAGACAACAGAGTAGTTAAACGCTTGAACTCCCAGGTTCATCTCTGTTTTTATAAGTCTACACTAAATTATCAGACTCTCACATATTCATGCACACACTCAGCAATGTGCCGTTCAGTCCCGGTGCCTCGGAGCTGTGCAGGAACCAAATGCTAATAACGTTGAAGCATCTGCCAGATTAGAATGGATTTTTAACTAAAGCCCTCATAGGAGTTTTGACTCTAAAAATTCGAATGCAATTTAAAGTCAGTGAGCTCTAACTCGCTATTCGAACACATTTATTTATTTTCCTATTTGTTTAAGGCTGCCAGAGGTAGATATCCTTTCAAATTCTGCAATAAAGAGTAATGAGTGTCTGAGGTTTTCTCTGTCTATATCAAATATCAAAATTAAATGATAATCAGAAAAACCTTGGGGCTATATTTAAAAAATCTATGTGTTTGAGAAAGCATTTCATCATAATCAAAACCACAAAGTCATGATGCAGCGGCACCTGCATGCACAGCACAGACACACTTTTTGAAAAAGCATACTCAATATACCACTCTTCATTGAAATACAGAACAAGACCTTTTGAATTCATGACTACAGATATGAAAACAGCTGCTCTAGCTGCTATCATTTATACATGACAGCTCACAGTGCACACACACACATATACATACATACACTCACAAACAAAGCCGAATGATGGTATGAGGTAAAAAGTGGGATGCAGAGCAGCAGTGTGTGAGGTGGTGGAAGAGGACGGAAAAGGCAGAGGGATCAACAGGGGCAGTGAGAGGAAGTCAAGGAAACAATTAATAGGTGGAGGATTAGTCAAGTAGAAATTGTTGATTATGTTGATTGGATCAGGAAAGTGCCACCGTTTCTCCCCTGCCTCAACGTCCTGTTTCTATTTCAGTTGAAGTTGCTGCATCATACATGCATGGAGACCCTCATAGAAGACATCATATATGTGAAAAGTACTAACTAGGAATGGGAGGATATACAATTTTTTTGGTGGTGTACACACTAAGATTTTCAAGTCACAGATCTGCAAATTTAATAGATGCACAAACATCTACAGATTCTGATTTAATATTGCTTTAATGATCTGAAATGTTAGATAATAGCAGTGAAGATTTAAGCTTAGCTGCTTTTTTTAAGATGAAACATTCAGTCCATTAAGCAGTTAATTGGCAGGAAATTAATTGGCAGCTGTCTTGATAAGTAATGAATCATTTATGTCATGTTTCAAGCAGAAATGCTGCATAGTCTCTGCTTCCAGATTTTTAAATGTGAGGATTTTCTGCTTCTCTTTCTCATGTATGACTTTGAACTGAATATCTTTGAGTTTTAGACTGTTAAAAGAATAGGTCTCATGTTGAATGTTAGGACATGTGGTTGAGAAAAAAGTTGTTTTTTCCCCCACTTTTCTTTAGGTAGGTAGGTACAAACTTGCCTAATTCACTCATCTCAAATGCTACACATGAACTTCCCCTGCGAGGGATGAAGTATGAACAGTTAAATGGAGTGACATGCACCATTTTTCTGCTGACCAGCGTCCTTGTGGCGATACACAAATCTGCCTTCGGAGGCTAGGAAGACACGGTGGGAGTGAGGAGGAGGAGGAAACTTACGACTGCATGCAGGGAAGGAGTTGTTAATCTGCTCCATTACATCTGCCAGGTCAGAGCTGCTGTGGTGGGAGTCCAGCAGCTCATCTGAACACACACACACACACACACACACACACACACACACACACACACTGAATTTCAGTTACCACAGACACTTTAATACGATACCAAACCACAAAGAGCAACAAGTTTCCATTTGCAAAGAAACAGCGTGCAAGCAAACATTCAGTGTACCTGCTAAGAAAGGCTGTAAAAAGTAGCTCCTGTAATAGTGATTGAATTCTAAGGACAGGTCTTCATATTTTGAGATCAATGGAAGTATGAGTGTTTGTGTCGGAGCGTACAAGTCTTTTTGAGTGTCCCACCTGAGTTTTCAGTAAGTGGCCCTCTATCTTGCACAGTGGGAGAGGACACTCCATTTACCCTTGAGTCCATCTCCGGCTGAGAGAGACACACACACAGAGGGAAGAAAGCACACAAAAAAAGAAAACTCCATTATTATAACACAATTATTCCGCTTGGCATCCGCTTGACAAGTTCAAAATTAGCTGTGCTTCACAGCGCCAGGCAGAGACAAGGGAATACCAGAGGGCGGCACAATGAGGCTGTTGTTTTGTGTACAAAAACATTGCTCATAAACACGTCTCTGCCAATGTCCCGACTTCAGTTTAACATGCTACCGTATCAATCACATTCAAAGACCTCAATAGACATTTTAATAGTTAGCTTTTTAGTTTTCTATCTAAGTACAGAGTTATTTTACTGAGTGAAACAGTAGAAATTCCTGCACTGCCAGCATGAACGATTGACAGTCATGTCATCCAGCCACAAGAGCAGATATTCCTGTGTCCATATAATACATTATACACACTGTGTCCATATCCAAAGCAGCAATATAAGTTTCCTCACTGAGGGAGAAGGCGGGTATTTGTCTTGCCTTTATAACCACAGGTCTCCTGTCTAACACATTTGGAAATCCATCTCACCCGAGGCTGATATGACTGACATTAATGCAGCTGCCACAGGTGCTGCAGAGTAAGACGTTGAATGCAGATGACCTGCAGTAATCTAGCAATGTTTATATTAACTATGTATTGGACGGCGTCTTGTCTGTGACAGATTGCTTTTTGGTTGGCTTTTTTGGATCACACTGCTATCCACTGTGACTACAGAAAACCTGTCGTGTCCTGGGTATCAATGAAAAGACAAAGGGCAGAATTGCTGTTTTTACCATCTTTTCTTGAGCAGCACTTCGCATCGAGCACTTTGATTGGCTGTGAAACACTACAGGAAACAGTAATGTCACCGCTAAAATAAGACAACAAATTGTCATGCCCTCAGTCTTTTAAAATTTGGATTCCTCATCGTTGGTTCGGATCCACAGATGAAGTGATGATCATATTTTTTTCATTCTTTATGATTGAAATTAAGATTCAAGTCATGGCTGATAAGAAAAATCTGATAAAAGCAGTTTGTCAAGCACACAAAAAGAGAACTCAATGACAGTAAAAAGCCGAGTTACTTCAAGAAAAAACCTTAACAAAACAGCATCTCTATCGATCAGATACAGATTAGGATTGTGTAACTGACGCACTGTGGACAGCTGATCAATTGGTGAAAACATGCTTTGTTGCTCCGATGCACACTAGCGAACACTTGATGTCTGGTGACATTTACGGCAGACTCCCACATTGCCTCCAGCTTTTCAGCTGCAAGAAACCGAATCAATGTTGCCTCCCTCCCCTCCCTCGTCACCCCTCTTATTCTTCCTCTCCTTCATCTCCTGGTGCCCCTGGTGCCAGTAAAGGCTAACATGTTGGAAACGTCTCTCGAGCACAGCCACTGTCTTGAGGCTCCTCTTAGAATAGCTAAGGTCAGGGCTTTGGTCAGCCTTCAGGAGTGTGAATTTAGTGCATGCATCAGGCTGGCTGGATTTATTATTCTGCAGCTCGGCAGTAATGCCTCGGTTGATGGAGAGACATGTTGACATATCATCAGGACTCCGGGGACTTAAATGTCAGAAGACAGAAGTTCTTATTTAGCGTGGGGGTATTTCAGTGTATGCAGGTAGTTGTGTAAGCGATTAGTGTGTGCATGTATTGTCTTTCGGAATCAGCATCAGACTCACCCTATGAATACAATAAACACACAGGAGAGGATGACATGGTGCAGAAAAAAGCTCATGCTAAACTAAGTACATGCAGGGAAACAGTATCTTATAGACAGACTTTGACAGTTTACTGTATACAGCTCTACAACAACTGGCACATCATGCAGTACAGTAAGAAAGTACAGTTTTAAAGTGCTTGCATGTTTAGTTTATGCTATTTTCCACTTTACTTCACTACATGTATTTGACAGTTATAACTACTTCTGTATTGGCCTTCTGTCTGGAGTTTGCAATGGTCTCCCTGTGTCAGTGTGGGTTTTCTGCAGGTACTCCTGCTTCCTCCCACAGTCCAAACACATGCAGGTTAATTGGTGACTCTAAATTGTCCGTAGGTGTGAATGTGAGTGGTTGTCTGTCTCTATGTGTCAGCCCTGTGATAGTCTGGTGACCTGTCCAGGGTGTACCCCCCGAGTCCTGAATGAATATAATGTTTCAGTAATAACCTAAAAATACACAGTAATATATGATAATATAACACTGTCAGGGGCCACTGCGCTGCCTCATGAGTACTTCTACTTTTCAGGATTCAAGACTTTAACTTGAAAAGAAACATTTCTGAATTTTCTCACTACATAACAATGTATCTGAAGTCTACAAACGGAGGGAAATCTCCAATATGGTAAACAATGGCTGCACAAAACCATTCTTTCTGTCAAATTGTTAATCTTCATCCATTAAAAATCTGCCGAGTCACATCAGCTGCCTTCCTCGGGCCATATTTGTTGTGAGTTATTACTGTGCTGCCACAGCTACCAGAGAGCCAATACCTGCTCCTGTGTTTGCTCAGTCTGATTTGTCGGGATTGCTGTTTGTTTGGCTTGAGGGTTGTGCATTTCTCACTTGGCACAAAACAATCCAACCTCGGTGAGCAATTAGGCTGGGCATAAACAAATCTGGAAGTTATTGATAGAGAGGCTGGAGATGGGTGCTGGACTCCTGGATGGAATGGTAATGACATGATTAGGATCTAATCTGAGAGTTGATGAACAGCTTTGTTATTCAAAGACACAACAAACCAAAAATAAAAAGTGAATGTGTCAGCACGTTTGTATTTAAACAAGTGTGGATGCCTGCGTGGAGGTTAATAGGTGCACAAGTACATACTTAGGTTGATGATTTATTTAAATGACTTTAAGAATCCTTTAATTTATTGGAGGCAATTGGTATGAGCGTTGCACTTTTTAAATGAGTTTTTGTATTTTATGAGTTGCACTGCCAGCTGGTGTGTGTGAGTGAGTCTGTGAGCTGTGATTGCTGCCCTGCTGCTCCCCAACAACAAGCCTAATGAACTAAAAAGAAAAGAACTTCATGAGAAATTAAGGCTTTAGAAATCAGAATTCCTCTGGAAGAAATGATTTGATTTGATTTACTTTGAAGAACAACACTAAAATCATGACTAAATCACCAGAGTAAACTCTGCCACAAACTGTAATCTGCATTACTGTGTATTGAGAGAAAATCTTAGCTCTCCCATGTTACTGCAACAGCCCACATACTGTGCTTTTTAAAGCTGACAAATGCTTCTAACTTGCTTTTATATCAAGTAATTGTGATTAAGATACGTCAGGTTTTAAGTCCTTTTCTATAAGAAGACAACTTACAACATCTATGTTGTTTTCTGTCTGCTAAGCACCAAAACTACAGCCATTCTTTCTGCAAATGGCCTCTTCACAGCTGCAGTCTGATTCCATTTCAAACAAGTCCACTTTGCAGTTGTCAGGCAAAAGCCCACAACAACAAGAAACAACCCTGATTCATTTTTTTTCCTGAGGACTATTTTTCTGTAAAGTAGGAGTCTGTGAATATCTATCTCTGTCTCCTCTCAGCCATAACGTGTTGCTTCTTGGGATAAAACTGCCCAACAAATCTGCGTGAAGCGTTCTGTCACCTGGTGCAGTAGCTGTCGGAGGCGGTGGAGCTGAGACTCCAGCTGTTTGTTGTGTTCCTCCAGGATGTGCATGCGGGCCTCCAGCCGACCCTTGTGTTGTCGTAGCAGCTTGGCCTCAGCTAGAAGATCGGCCTCGTCAGGATGGGCAAAAGGACCCTCTGAGTCCCAGGAGCCTCCAGCAGGGGCCCCTCGCTGGCCGTGCTGCTCCTTTAGCTGCTCGTACTCCCTCTGCAGGCTCCTGGGAAAGAAGGAAGAAGGTTAAATGAATCCGTCAAACCCTAAGGTTGAAGAAGTATTCATGCCATTAACATGTGTAGCATAACCACAAAGCAAAAATAATCCATTACAAGTAAAAGTCCTACATTTAAAACTTCACTGAAGCAAAAATGAGATAATATTATCAGCAAAATGTCCTTATGGTGTGTGCTTTTCATTACTTCTGGACTATCATTGTCAGGCAGCAATACTTGTGCAGCTTCTGAGTCCAAGACTAATTTCCCTACGGGGACAATAAAATGTATCGTATCGTATCATATCGTAGCGTATTGTATCTTAGTGTATTGAAAATATCAAAAGTACTTGTTCTGCAGCCCATGTGAGTGTTGTATTATGTTTTGTATATAAAATCTTCATCTGTACAGTTACTATTAACTCCAGCTGTCTGATAAATGTAGCAGAGTAAAATGTTGAGGACAGTGCTTGCATAAATGTAATGTAACAGAGATCAAAGTAAACACCTATGGGACAATTTAGACAATGCTCTTCACCACCATCAGCATAAAAACACCAAATAAAGTGGTATTTTTTGGAAGAATTGTGAGTTAGAGTTAGTGAGAAACTTGGATGATCTCTGCCAAGGAGCAGTGAAGCTATTCTGGTGCCTGTGAGTGGCCCAAAACCTGACTAAAACTACAGTTGGGTAAAAGGAAAACCATAAATAAATGAGTGGTGATGGGAGTGGTCTCTTCCATGATGACTATGCCTCCATCCATAGGCCACGAATGTTTTGATGAGTATGAGAATCATGTGAATCATATGCTATGAATTTACCAGTCACCAGATCTAGACCAGGTTAAACACCTGTGGGTGATTTTGGACAGATGTGTTAGACAGCACTTTCCACCGCCATCATCAAAACGCCAAATGTGTTTAGGAATAATGTTTTTCATCTCTCTGGCAGAGTTCCAGAGACTTAATGAATCCATGCCAGCACCTTATGCTGCATTCACTCGTAGCCTAACTAAGACACATTATGATTTTTTCTTTCATTTTCTATCCATCTCAAGGTTACTGTCATTCTCCCCTTATATACTCAGGTCAAAAGGTGCGTATCTGAGCTGTGTATGTATACATGTTTTCGATGTACTTTAATTGTGAACAGAAACATAGGTGTCAGTATGCATGTGTCTACTGTATAGGATATATAGGGCTGGGTGATTTGGAGCAAATCAAATAAACTGAGACCATATTATTATATCTGACAGATATTTGATTTGATGTAATTGCTTTATTTTTTTTATATAAGTATTCAAGGGTCCCTTAAAATAATGTTTTTAATATTTTACTTGCTTGTTTAGCAGTGAGACTTGTCGCAATGTGTAACCATTAACTTGACAGTGATGTATTCCAGGGAGTCTTGTATAAATAGATCAGAGGACTCATGTTTCTGAGAACTGGGCTTTAATTTAATTATTACATATTGTTGTCAAGATTTATAAATATTAGTGCTGTGCTGTTTTTGTAACGCTGCGACTGTTTGCCCTGGAAGGCTTCTCTCTTGTGTGATACTTACTACGATTACATAATTACAACAAACTACCAAATGTGGTTATGTATTATTATTCTTATCAGTGAACGACTCTGAAAAAAGACTCCTTCCTGAACCCTCACAGTGGGGGGCCAAACAAAAATACCACAGTCATGTTTACCTCTGCTTTCTGCTTTCTCAGTGAAATCCTATTTGAAGTGGATAGACAAACATAAAGGACCCCCTGCCAAATCTCTCGCTTCATTCCCTCCTCACACCCCACCTACCCTCTCTCTCAGTGCAGAACCATAAGCTGCCGTGCTTTGCTTAAGTTGGCATTTATGAGTCTGGCAGTATAAAGCTATCTCTCTCTCAACCTCACTCTACCCGAGTGCCTGTGTGTGTGTGTGTGTGTGTGTGTGTGTGTGTGTGTGTGTGTAATCAGTGTTAAATCACTCCAGTCGAGCCACTGGCTGTGCAAAAGCACCACTACAACAATAGATTGTAGAGCGAGTCTGTCTCTAAGCCATCTCCATTTACTAATCAAACCGGGGAAGGACTTGGCGTGCGGGACACACTAGGGGTACGGGAAGTGTGTGGATGTTTATGTACTGTGCACCGGAGTGTGACAATGAGCATATGAACTCAAATGACACCAAGAGACTGTGAGCAAACATCAGAGCTACAATGAAAAGGAAAAGATAAACACTGAGTTTGATGTACTGTAGAAAATTCTGCTTCCATATAACTATTATCATTATTATTTAACTTGAAGAAACCACAACTCAGACCTGATTGCCCATTTTACGAAAACTGTCCAACCATAAGTGATATTTTCCTTATATTCTGGGGCTTAACGACCCTCTCTCTCCACATGGATTCACGTTTGTAATGCCTTACCTCTGCTCCTCCTCCAGTCGAGCTATGATCCGCTCCAGCTCGCCTCTTTCCTCCCTCTCCACTGCCTGCAGGATCTGGGCAGGACTCTGGGGCTGACTGCAGGGGGAGCCCTCCCCACCCAGCGTCTGACAGTACTGCAGGATCAGGGCATGCTCGTCATCCCTGTGGGGAGTGAGTGCAGAGTAATGTGATGAGTGAGGAGCTCAGACATCTTGTCCCTGTTAGTCTGCTCAATTCACCTTCTGTTCAGCTGTGCAGGGAGGTCTTTTTTCAGCACATGAATGATGCGGAAACTGAAAAAATGTTTTGCAGTTTGAAAGAATTATGGTAACTTACTTACCGCAAATCATTATGTTTGGAACTTGGAATGGATGCTTAGAAATTAGCATATAACAGTTCTGCTCTACAGAGAGCAGAAACTACAGAAGCACGGAAATTGAGAAAAAAAAAGTTTAAAGTTTTCAGGCTGGCCAACAAACTGCAGAACAAAAGGGATGTTTGTAATCCTTCATTTTACACCCTTCAGGCGTGTTAAGTTATGTAAGAAACTACAAAAGACCTACAGTAAAAGAAAAAGCAGATCTGAGGAAACGGTATTTACAAAAATGTTCTATCACCATTCTAATCTGTTTAAGGAGAGAAACGTCATTCTGATTATTTAAAGTCCATCACTACAGAGATTAAATATCTGTCTCTTTTGTTAGGTGTGTGTCTACTATAAATAACAGTAAACTGAAATCAGTGAAGGCATCTTTAGTTGAATGCATTCAACCGTGATTTCAAAAGCTGCTCCTCTGCTAAACATACCTTTCAGCAGGAGTCTAGCCACTGCCTCATTAAGTTATGTGGCAGACAAACTGAATTACCAAGATTGTATTGCATCAAAATGTATATTTTTCAATTACAGATGGCAGCTGGGGAAAATCATTGAGTAAATTTTGTTTATGGTTAGGTTTAGCTGTGCCTATCTCTCCTGCTAGCTTTCAAATGATTAATTGCTCCTGCTTTAGCATTAGATGTCTAGTTTTCTGAATGTCTGTGACAAATTCATATGTTGTTATTAGGAAAACTGCACATTCCTAAAGAAGAGTTATAATAATATGGTAAAATAATTGCCAAAAATTCAAATTCTAGTCTAAAAGGGTACGTTTGGTATTTTTCAACCTGTACCCCTTTTCCTTGTGTTTCTGTCTGAGCGACTAATGGGAACAAATGTTTTAAAATTGGTCCAGTATTGAGCACAAGGACTGTAGCCGGGCACGGCAAAACAGGCTGCAATGTAACCACTCAGGGCATGTTCGCCACTCAATGTACGTCCAATAAAAGTGCTTGTTTTTGCCTCTGACAGGCTCAGATTGCTATTATAATACTTCCACCAAAATTAGTGCATGTATGTGGGTTTTTTAAACACAGAAAAACACCTACTAAAAATAGGTGATTAGCTACTTTTCTATTGCCTATAGACCAGAGCAGTGTACCCGGCTCTGCAGGCGGACAAGTATGCCTTTCTTATTTTTGTGGTGTGTCATGTTCAATGTCACGGAAAGTCCAGGTTAGTAAACAGTTAAAATGTTACGATGGTTACTTCCTGTTCATATTTCTTACTAATTGAGTCTGTCTTTCAAACTCCATATCGACTAAATTTGGATTGATGCACAAGTGCGCTGTGTGAGAAGACGGATGGTAATTTGTGGCAGCTCATTATTGTATTTTCTGGTAAAGAAGCTAAAATTAGCAACTCCACCAAGGTGTTGTATTTCCATAACTGCCGGTCAAAGTCGATGAGAGTTGGGGCCAACAAATTTAACAGCTCCAGCTCTTGGGTATTTAATAAATACCCAAGTTTACTGCAAAGTTATTTGACCTGGGAGTGAATGCTTATTGTAATCTTTCCCATTTAATACAAAAGCCAGATATTAGCAAGTGTGAGTGGGTTTTTGTGCAGTGTAAAGGGGCTTACTGTAAGCGTCTGACGACATAATGAAAGGATCCCTAGAGATAGACCTTTTTGTTAAAGAGTAAGTTCATTTTTGTTTAACCAGAAACAGCCCTGAAATCTCCATAGCCAAACACACTAGGCTCCATTTAATTCAACAATAATTTGCAGCATGTTTTCACATCTAACTGGGTGAATTAAGGGTTTATTTCAACCAAAACACAGTTGGCAATTGTTGGAACAGTGGAAAGATGAACCAAGGTGATTTTTGTGAGTTTTATTTTGTTGCTATTTACTTTGAATGAGTGAGTGTGAGTGTTTCAGGATGAGAAAATTACTGTTTATTTAAATGGAGTCTGAAGTGTTAGGCGCCAGCGATATCGGGGTGGTGTTGGATGAAACAAAAATGGTCATATTCTTTCACAAAAAGGTCTAAGTCTGTAGGGATCCTTTCCATTATGTTGTCAGACACTCGGACTAATAACCTGGCCTGTCTGGGGCAAAAACAACTTTTAGTGGAGTTAAAATTACAGCACACATATGCCCTGAGGGTTTACATTGCAGCCTGTCTTGTTCAATACTGGACCAATTTCAAAAATAGTTTTTCCCATTAGTCATTTAGACACAGAAACATGGGAAAATGGGGTCAAGGTTGTAAAATACCAAACTTACCCTTTAGGTCAGTTTTGACTAAATATGTGGCAGTAAAATTAATGAACTGATGCCACCACAGTGTTTCATTGTCTTCTCTCACGAATAAAGGTCAGATGACATCAAACAGCCTTTGGGTGGTAACAAATGCGCTTGTGAGAGAAAAAAAGCCAGCTTACTGTAAACACAAATAGAAACAGCAGCTTCCAACAAAGCTAATCTAAACACAGATTGTGGTATCTGCCATGATATATTAGATCTTTAGCTATTGTAGGTCTGCCACGCTGTAAACTCCACAATCACTGGTGGAACACAGATGTGTCAGTCTCTACTATCTGATAACGGGAATAAGGGAGGGCCGTGAGGAGATGGAGGGAGCAGAGAAGAGGAGAAGCCTGGCAGACAGATGATATATGAGATATGGAGGGAGAGAAGGAGAAATGGCTATTGGTGTCTGCTGTTGTGTACCTGAATGTGTGTGTGTGTGTGTGTGTGTGTGTGTGTGTGTGTGTGTGTGTGTGTGCGTATGTGTCGATCTCTTTATGTGCTATCTCAGTGATCTGAAAAGGGGTGGCAGGTCTTGCCAAAGCCCAGCTGTCACCTTCATCCTGAAACACAACCTGAGCCTTGAAGACTAAAACCTGACAACCACACAAGCACACACAAACAAAAAAAGAAAAGAAAAGATGGCAGACTGTTATTTAAAAGTCCTTTCCATCGCCAGAGTGACTGTAATTTCCACAGCCAGTCTGACAGCTCAAAGAAAGTTTGGCTGAGAAAGTTTAGTGGCATGGTGACTCCACGTGTGGCTTTCTATCCACTGCTGACTTTTTGCCATTTTTATTCATGGATTCAGCCCTGTCCAAACATCTAGCAGTGCTCAGGCTGTCATTCTGTGACGTTAACATCCAGCGGTTACGTAACTTTAAAAAGAATATACCTGGAGGCAAACTATTACAGACAAAAGGTCTGCTGCCACTTATAATACATATATACATAGTATAGATTTAAAACCAATTTTGATGCAACTTGGTCCCATTTTTGCAGCTTTAGCCATTGTTTCTCTGGGTTATAAGAAATGGTAGATACTATAGTAAGTGCTGAAATCTGGGAACATGATTACATGGCGACAACAAATTCCAATGGTGAACGAACCAACAATTTGGCTAGATTACCAAAACAATTTAATTTGAAAGTTAAAGTGAGGAAATCATTGCATAGAAAACTGTGCGTGCATAACTATGTTAACTAAGGTGGGTTGGGTTGAACTGCAAAGTCATAAACTGTGAAGGACATTTATGGCAAACAGTTTGGTGATAATTTAATTGTTCACCAAACTCTGAGTGTTTAAAACCGGTCTGGTCACCTGACTGCATATGATTCTTGCTTTGTTGGACTTCCTCTCAGTGGGCCTCATTCACAAACAGTACGTAAGCACAAATCTGTGCTACAACTGTGCGGGTATAAACGTTTTCCACACAAATCAGGGATTCAGAAATATTTTCTTTCCTGAATTTGTTTGTACTCTATGAACAAATTTAGAATGGCCTTAGACCATGATTACGCACAAATGATGAAGGCCTGGCTGTCTTAGAAAATGTAAACACGCACCTTTTAATTTAACACGCAGCATATTAAAACCGCATCCACTAGACAATATATTTAAAACCTTTATTTACAAAGCACTCTATTAAATAACTACGAAACTGATGCCTTTTCATCCTCACCAACAATTAACATAATAAAAATATTTAGATATAAAAACTGTGTCCCAGTCCTAGCTTACAATGGAGTTTATGAGAATACTGCAATAAAACGGAATAATTCTTTAAATGATTGATACTGTATTTTCATTTGCTGTGAAGAGGGTGTAAACCATTAGACATATCAAAAGGAAGGTAATTTAGTTTAGGTAGGTGCAACTTTCTCTGCATCAACAGCAATGACAAACAAGCTATTCTCTATTTGCTGTGTGCTGCGCTGTGTGCTGCATTGACCTCTGAGTTGGAAACTGTGCTGTACTTTAAGCCACACCTCAAACAGTGACATGCAGGCAGGAACTCTTTGCACCTTTTAAAATAAGCGGTGACTTGCCATAAACTTGGTTCACACACTCTTATCAGAGCCAGACCATAGCTGAGTGCATAATCCCTGACTGTAATGAGAAGGTTAATCAAATACGCTCTGGAGAGCAAGCTGGCAAACTGAAACGTCTCAGGTTTTACATAAGACACCCTTGAATTTCACCATAGGAGACAATCAATGAGTATTCAGAAAATATTCAGAATGCTATTATCACCGCATGTATAATACGAGAGGTTAGGAATAGGACACTTTTTCTCTCTCAGAGATGACGGTAATTATACTATTTCATGACCAAGGACTGCGGCGAGTGGATAGCTAATGAAAGGTACACAGAATGAAGCTTTCACCTCTTTTTAGATAAAAGGAATAATATGCCAAGCCAGGAGCCTTCCATGAACATTAAAGTAAGAAAAAGGGGTTTTATCATTAACCAGCCTAAGCTCCCCGTGTGATTTGAAGCACAAGTTTAGAGAGCTCTTTTCTTTAAGAA